GAACAACTGACCTTGTCTCCATCACCCCTCCCATTCCGAACAGGCCATTCGCCCCCCCCCCCCCCCCCGGCCGCGGAGGGCACGAACTCCGGAGCCTTGGCCTGGCCATGTCGGTCGCAACGACCCAAACGCTGAGTGGCCCTGTGATGCGAAAATCGCTGAACGGCTTAAAGCGGTTTTTTGTTGCGCTTTTAGCTGTGAATGACCAAGAAGGTGAATCTCAAAGCGATCAAATCACTCCAGGTTGCTTTAATGTTAAATCATCTTGGATTAGACAAAAAGCCGCTTCCTCTTGCTGGTCGAATGTTCATTTTGCGACATGTGAAAATCGCTCCCGCGAGGCTCGCGGAACCTCCAAAGTCGCTCCCCCATGTTGGAGAAGTCAAAATACACTCCCGCCTGAATACCAACCCAGTGGTTCCATGTTAATCTGCAGGGGAGTAAATACTGACCAAAGGAACATGAAGGAAGGACCTTTAACATCCTTTAACCCAACACATAAGGGGACGCAAATCGGCTAGCTCGGCCAGAACTATCGGTTGCAACGGCAAATCTTCAGTGAATGGTTCCCAGTCATCCGTCTTCAGACCTTCTCAGTCGCTGAACTTGTCACCAGCCTTCAACTTAGAGGTGAGTTTGCCATGCACATCCAGCTTCCTGTCGCCACCGGGTGGGCCCCAAGAGCGATGGCAACTGGGGATGTGTCTCCAAATGAGAAGCTTCTGGCAACTTCCGAGGGCAAGAAGGGCCAAGAACACTCATGGCAGGGTCTCCATGATTGAACTAAATCCCATGTGACTCAGTTCAGTTTCAACAAGTGAGTCAGCGGGCCGCCCTCTTTTAAGAAGAAAGAGTTCACCTCAGACTGGGCAAACAAATCAATGACATTCAATGACTGTGACTCGCCATAGCACGACGATGCACGACGGCCTCCAGGGTTCAGCCCCTGGCCGACGGAGCATCCGACGGAGGGGTTCACTGGGTGAAGCCCTCCACGTGGTGCTAGCCAAGAAAAAGCAAGAGCGAGTAGAAACAAAAAACTCAGTATGTTAAAGCCACCTTGAAGAAACATCACAACCCACATTGGAAAGACTCTACCCTACTAGTATGAAGTGAGTGACATATCAGGCTTGCAAATGCTTGCAGAAGAGCCTTTGGAACCGGTGGAACATGCCACTACAGTACCTTGCGTGGAAATGAACTGCGCTGCCACTCCCCTGGTCATCCCAGGCTTCATCAGAAGACTATCTACTGGAGCCCAGGATCTATTTACTGTAAATGGACGCTCGCTCGAGGAAATCACGACGCAGTTGCTCTAGAATCCTCAAAACAAACTGATAAAATATGAGAACATGGTAACATGGATCTATCTATCTATATATTATATACACAGCAGCATCTGCTTCTGAGCTTCCGTGGGTCTCTATCCCTGTGCAACCCAAGCAAGGGTTTTCACAACCTTCACGCAGAAGTAATATCAAACATCTACATCCAACAGCTCGGCAAATGTCGAGCTCAAGATAAAAAGGTCCCACTCTTTGTGGAAACATGGGGACCAGTGGGGACCTCTCTAGGTGAATTCGACATCCCTGTCATATTCAAATCCTTCACGACACAGTGCTCCACCTGGTTTCAGGGATGCACCCAAAGCGAGGACCTGCGGCAAAGAACGAACGCGGCGGAGTTCCCGCGGCGGAGAAGAGAGTCCATGGCACAAAAAAAACAAAACATCACAAGACATCACTAGACCATGTGGTTCTTGGGTCAATATGATAATCTTATGTCTTTTTTGCCCGGCAGCCTTGTGTTCTCCAATGGCAGCCATACACGACCAAATCCAATTAGATGCAAGCCTACCAACCTTGCCAGCATGTAGATTCACTCTTTTCCACTCACAGCTGATCATGGAAACACCAACCACTTGCATCGCCAAAACAGCTTGGCCCCAACCTAAAATAGTCACTTTCTCCCGTTTGGACATAGGAATTTCGTAGTGCCCGAATTGGTGCCCGCCAAAATAGATGGAACAGACTATGGAACAGTTATACAGCCCTCCTGAAACCTCTATTGGAAACTGTTCTATGGGTTCTATCTATTTCTGGGACAACTTTTTTGGAGCAGGCTTTGTGACGACAGAACCGGGTGTCCTGAGTCATCCACAAAGGCGCGCGCGCACCTCCAAGGGCGTTGTTGCGCCTCCAGGAGCCCTCAGATCCGGAGAAGCGGCCGAGGAGCCTTCCCAAACAAAGGATAGATAGATGGCTTTTGCCAGGCCTTGATGGTTTGGTTTATACGCAACATGGCTCCTGTTGTGCGGAAAACATCCAAAGTACACGGAAAACACACAACAAGATCAAGTCAAGGGCTTCCAAATGGCTATTCCTCAGACTCAGGGTGCAAAACCTGACTAGAAACTGTAACAGCGCAGCTGTCGGCCGCTCGGTCGATCAAAACCCAAACCCGCTCGGTCGATCCGTCGACACGGGGTGATAGATCTCTGCTGAAGCCGGATCTGTCCATGGTTGTTCCCAGGGACACCGTGGGGCACTGCGATGGGTTGTTCAACCATCTGGCTTTGTCTCGAAGCAAACTTGCATTGTCCTGGATCCACGAACCACTCTGGAGCAGCCCTCGAAGTGATCTTGGAAGAAGGTGCCCGAAGAAGAGATCTGGGGCTGTCTAACTTCTTCACGTGGGGGACTGCATGTCAGAGCAGGTCAGAGTCCTGATTCTCCAAGGGTACAGTTGAAGGAGAAAAACTCCGGGAAAAAGAATCACATCATTTGCTTGGGATCCATATTATATTTATATATTTATATATATTTCAAACATATTCCACCATGTTCAACCTTTGGGGTCTGTTGCGGTGTTACCCGGCGTGAAAACCTCATACCAAAACTGGCTCGTAGCGCGCAAACCGGCTCACCAGGCGGGCCCGACATGACGAGCTCCACGGACTTCGCTTTCAGATGAGCTCCACGGTCTTCGACTTGGACTCTGATGGGATTGGACCGGTCCCCCTCACGTGCTTCGTCCGTCACCGGAAGACGTGTTCGGCGGAGGACGTGGGTCGTTTCTGGAACCAACTTCATGCAGAAAGGCCCTTGGATTGGAAGGTGGTGTTGTGTGATTGTTTGGTCGAGAGTGATGGAGTTGGGTTGCTCCTCGGTGGCTGAAGTTGGGACAAGTTGGACCTCACACGTCTGTTGGGACCTCACACGTCTGTTCTTAGCTGTCAGAGTCCAACTTCTGCGCAAGTTGTGCGCGGACACCTCAGCCCCCGTCGGCCCAGATTCGCGCTGCGCAGCTGCAGTGGAGCAATTCACATACATAATTCATTGGAGTTTTTGCCACATGCGTGTTGTCAATCTGCAGCCGATTCTACCTCACATTAAAAGGAAACACAACACCACTCTCTCTACTCCATTGCACTTGCTACTCCGTTTGAGAGTGTCTCCATCAAAAAGTTTCTATGGCTGGCTTGTCTTGTGTGACAGTACGCTACGACCATAGCTTTCTCCCTGAAAACAAGTCGTCCTACCCCCACTCTGTAGCCAGTAGGGAGAAGCAGCAGCCAATTCCAGCTGGGTTCCTTTTTGGCATGCGACAAATGACAACCCTACCCTTCCAGTGACCAGCTTAGCTGGGACGGGACACGAAGGTGTGAGACTTCACATGACATGGTGAAAACACACAGGTGTTTCAACAGAATTCCGAAACGAGACGCCGTCCAAGTTCTTGCATGGTCACTGGAAGGGCAGGAATAAGTCAAATACTTCATGAATTACTCAGCCTGTCAGCTCTCAGCTGTTGACCATGGGCTCATCTTGTTCTACGTCACGAATCCCTTCCCCCATCAGTAACTGCCCAAGGCTAGTTCGGTTGCAAATCAGAATTCGTATGAATTTGTCATGTTGCAACAAAGAATGAGGTGGACACATACACACACACCAACAAAACAGAAGTTAGAGGCACGGCAAGTACAAGCAAACTGAAGCATAACAACATCTTTTGTAAGGCAGCCAACATGCAGTCTGCATGCTCTATGTGCTTTTGGCGATGGCAGCCAATTTGAGAAAAACAAAACGCTTCTTCGGATGTGCTGTGTGCAAGACAGAGAGTTGATGGGCTTATTAGACACACAAATGTCATGTGATGAGAGAAAAAAGTGTGATCTTCTCGATACCTGGATATGCGTGACTGCTCCAGGTAGCACGCGACTGCTCGAGGCTTTGAGGAGGAAGCTAGCGAGTGGCATCTGACAAGGACGCAATGAATCTGTGGAGTGGAAAAATCTTGCGACGACTCTGCCTACGATGAAGTACTTCAAAAATGCATGTTGATACATATGAGGAAACCAGGCAGAAAACACAACATGCAAACCCAAAGCCAGCAAGGCCAGGGCATCAATAAAGAAACCAGGCAGCTTAGCAGCTTAGCATCCCAAACAATAACGATATAAATGAATGCTATCACTTTCAGCATGGAATCTGTACGAGGCATGTGACTCCCAACTTGTTCAGCTGTGTGCACATGGATTTTGTAACTGCTGCTTGGGGCATTGCAATCGCAAGGATCATGGGCCCCACACCTCCCTGCTCTGAAACAGATTTTGCATCTCCATACTCTCAAAGCTTTCACTGAGCATGCCAACGGGCTGAAGAAAAAAACTTTGCTCGTGCAATGGCAATTCAGCCCATGCAAGGGGCTGGCGTGTTTCTTGAATGGAAGGAAAACATGTTCGAGCTTTGACTCTTGCAAAAGGACATGTTTTCAACCCTGAATCCATGGGAAAAAGTTGGCACTCAACCCACGAGGCATTGCTCTTGTTCCGCATGTTGTGCCCGCCCTCGTTTCCATAAACTCTCTCCCAAACGACACGTGTCATCGGGCTGGCCTTTGGAAGTTCATATTTTCGAGGTTTCCGTGGAAGACATCTGGATCGGCTCTGTCGAATCGCTCAGAAATCGGATCTCAGCCAGTCTCTGGCCAGCGACGCATCACATACGACCTAGGAGAGGGGTCTCGTACGCGCAGAGACGGTCGGGTCTCTGGGGGTTCGGGTCGGGTCGGGTCGGGTCTCGTTCGAACGATTCCGGGCGACGTGCCGGGCCGAACTCACCGGAAAAGGCTTCGGAGGACAGTTACCATGGAAATACATGTCGGGATGCTGCACCCAAGTGTTGGGATGAGCTCAAACCTCCTGAAATGACATGCAGTGGTGGTTCATGGACACAATGGAAAACATCCCTAAATATACAATGGTTCATGGACACCAAAGAGGATCTCCTAGGGTCTCGGCTATCTCACTGAAGATGACGAATGTCTTGAGAGGAGCCTTGCCCAATCAACTTATATACTCCCTTCGCACAAACAAAGAGCTCCGGGCCGGTCACCGCGTAGGGCGCCCTGGCATCACGGCATGAACCCTCCAAACATGGGAGAATCTTCGATGTGCATAGTCTTCATTGTCAAGCTCTGTTGGATAGATGCAAGGGAATATGCCGATGGACCATCATATGTGAATCGCAATTCAATAGGTTTCTGGGTCTAAGGTCTTGCCACACGGTCACTGGACTGCGTTGGCACAAGAGATTGTTCCAATATGTTCCAATGTCACACTGCAATACCCATGGGCGTGATCTATTGAGTTCTTGCAAGATTCTGTTGCCGGACTAAATCCTCCATCATCATCGAGGCTTCTTGCCGTCCAACAGTTTGTGTCCTGTTTTCTCGCTGTCCAACGGTGGACATGACATGCAACAGGTGAAGAAACCACCACTTGGACTTGTGGAAGTCATTAGGCGGTGCTCTGGAAAACATGAAATTCATTCACAAAGAACCATCATATTATCTTAGGCAACTGTATTGGATTTGATGCATCTGTGTGCATCTGCTATGATCTATTAGTTTTGCTTGCTCTCAGGGCCAAGGACTCAAGTTTCCTCGTTCAACCAATTTGCCACCAAGGTGAGAAACCACGCCTTGACAAATAGCACATTCAATTCCTACCGATCTGCAAGCCCACTCCCCGAACCAACTGAATACACACTACACACAGCAAATCTTAGTGTCGTGTCTTCTCACCGCTGGTGACTTCATCTGTCTCTGCCGATTCGCTTGGGCATCCCCAAGCAAACCGGCGATTTCCCAACGGCCTTTGTCGCGGAGTCGCCAAGCGAGCTAAAGGCGGGGACCTGGAGACAAAGCGCCAGGGTCCTACGCCAGCGGGGTACTTGATCTGCATGTCACACAGAAAAACATGTTGAATGTTTCATGCTACTCCCGTTTACCTTGAACGTCAGTTGGCTGTGAGGGTGAAACACAAAGACACGGGCGTCTCACCTTCCCAAACCAGTGTTCCCATTCATATATATATATAGATATACACATATTTGAAGTACTCTTCATGGCGTCGCCAACATGAGCACTTCTCCAGGCCATTATATAAACCAAAAAGCATCAAAACTGGTCAAAAGAACTGACAACTTCAAGCTGTACAGCTACAGGAGGTGGTATCCAAATGTTTTCATGGAGCTTCATCCTACTGATATCTACTGACATACCGATAATCTTGAGAAAATAGTGAACAATTGCCAACACTTTATGTAGTACTTACTTCCCATGTTCTTCGTCCAAAATGCTGTGTGCTCAAAGCAGGAACGACCTCTCATCCATCAAAGATTGAAAATCTTTTGGAAGTCGCAATTCCCCAGCCTTCCCATCCCATGATGCCCTCCCTCGGGACTGGGTGTTCCCGAAAAGAGTCGCACCTTAAGTCGCTCTGCCAGGCTAAGCTGCAGGAGCCTTGGTGGAGTCACGTGCAAGTCGTGGAAGGTCCGATGCTTTTGATCAAACGGTCACAGGGAAGGCGGAGGGATTCCGCCCACCTTGGAAAGGCAAGCTTTGCCCATTTTTGCCCAGCCTGTTCAAACGTTCTCACGATCCTTTTCTGTGTGTTCCTTTGTTGAAGTGAAGAAACCACAGGGCTGTTCCACAACTGCCCTTTGTTCCACAACTGTGCAATCCTCCTCCAGTGCGCTGCCATGCGCCAGCGATGGAACAAGAGGTACCTGAGAGTCTGGTCACCAACGTAGCGATGGAAGGCCCCCAGCAGCCGGAAGGTGCGCCTATATCGACGATACAGCGATACGGCCCGGCCCGTATGCACTGGTCTTTACAATAATACCGTCAATCATAAAACATAACCAAAACTAAAACATAAAAACAATAGCTCTATATAGCTTTTAGTTTCTTCAACTTCTTCCACCTTTTTTCCCTCCACCTGATACCCGGCCAAGGCTGTTTACCCTGAACCCTCAGGGACGCCCTAACCCTGGTGACCGCGCGCCAGCCCAAGGCCGCTCCAGCTGGGCCGCCCGGCCCAGCGGGGAACATGGAGCCCTGACGGCGCCCAAGGTTCGACCGGGTTCGACGGATCGGCGACGAGTTCTTCATCTGGGCAGCACCGGGGTTGGGTCCCCCACCCCATCCGTTCTTCGTGTGGCCAAACGGTTCTCCTCTTTCTGGAGGCCCAAAAGGTGGGACCTTGGACCGAGCATGTTTCTCAGAGGGAGACCTAGTGAGGTGTGAAATAGATGTGAAAGCGATGGAAGAAATCCATGCACCCAGCCAAGCCTGGATTGCAAACTGTGTCGCGCTGGGACCTGATGCATCACGTGGCGAGTGGTGAGAAACATGAGAAACACTGAGCCTTGAAGTTCTCTACCAATATGTTGTTTTTGTCCTCCAAGTTCCTTTTGAGGCCCTTATCAATCCGAATCAATCCATCTCCAAATCCATCCTCCCTCCATGTATAGATCGACTCTTGAGGACCATACACCCTCCATATGAAGAGGTTGTTCAATCCTGGGGTGATGTGATGAATCAAGCGTCGCTCCGGGGCCGAGCTGTTCCCGTCGTCTTTTGGCCCCCCCCACCGGGCGGAGGCCGGACCAGGTCAGGCTCGGCCCCACGGTGGGGCTGGCACTCACCGCACGCGCGACCTGGGACGGACTTCCACGGTGTGACAAATGCATGTATGTGAGAGTTGTGTAGCAAAATATATAGCAAAAAAATCTAAAGAAAGTGACAGGGAACAATCAGAAGTCCTTGCTCCTAGTAGCGATGCCCTTTGTTACCGGTAGCGATGCCAGGAGCTACGAGTAGCTTCTTGTTCCTAGTAGTCTGTCTATTCAAACATCATTGAACCCCTGACATGGGAAAAGAATCCGGCAGATACCATGTCTAGTTTGGCACTTGCCCATTGAAACATATGGAACGTTTTTCATGCTCGTCCCGAAAACCCCTGGCCTGTCCATTTCGCATCTGCCTGGCGAACGGTAGACGTTTCACCAGCCATGGTCGACTGATGTCGACTGGACGGACTAGCCCGTCCTCACTCCGGGCCCAAGTCCGAGACTTTGGTGGTTTACAAAACAGATTGAAATCGATTTTTTAGATGGAATTGATCAGTGCTGGATAATTCGGTGCTGGATACATAGCTATGTATCACTGATCTGTATATTTTGCGTGCTGGTTGAAAACAACCCTTTCACTGTTGCCATCGCAGACTGAACAGAAACTCAGGTGGAACGAACAGCTAGTGCATCCAATCATCAACATGCATGCATGTGTCTTTGTGATCTATCAAGGAGCTCCATGCAGCAAGGTGACTGGTCACACATGTTCGGCGTCTCCGTGCGTCGGCAAAACCCCGCTGACTTCTTTTGTTTTGCATCAATTTGTAATAAAAGGATTTGTCGTGTGTGCTGCAGCAGTTCAGCTATGCATCCGGCTTTGAAAAGGCGCCGAGAGTCTAGCTATAAGCAGTAGATGGTCCTTTGGTCCCACCTGGGCGTTGAGGGTGCTACTGTTGCCTCAGTGCAGGTGGCAACCGTCAGAATGGCAAAGGGGCCTAGCCTATGCTGGTCTGTTGACAGGCCTCAAAAGAGGAGTTGCCAAAGAACTAAACACTCCATATAGCCACTGTTGTCTCTTCAAAACCTGAAATCACGCACCACTCACCACTATAGCGAGGCCATGTGAGGGAGACTATTATTCTGGTGTTCAAATCGATGTCCATACTGATCATCCGCTCCTCAATTCAATGATTCATGTTTGTTTGTTTGTTTGCCTATTGTTTTCCTTCGAATTCAGCTGCTCCAAGGGTTCCGAGCCCCAAGGCCTATGATTCAGGCTACAAAACAAGGTGAACAAGTATATATAAACATGAAACTGACCATGCAAGGAAAAATTGAACAACATATCTAATATAACTAATATATATGTACATATTATATATGTAAATGTATATATGAATATATATATATATAATATATTGTTGACACACTCCTTTTGCTCATGCCTTGCTTATTCCATACTCCACTCCTCATTAGTCTCATGGGATGGCCAAGAAAGACTATGCGAAAACTGCCACTTCATTGACTTCATCCGACACCTCTGGCACCCAGACCAAGTCCCGCACCGTTGTCACCATTGTCCGCACCGGGCCAGTACTGAGCGGGGATTCGTCCCACCGTGCCCCTCATTAAAATAAGAAAAACATCCCCGCGGGGGCTCTGACGGCCCACGTTTTTTTCTCTTTGTCTAAAAGCAACTGCAAATTAGAGATGGTGCTCTTTACATATTTCTTTCATTTATGATGTTGAAGCGCTCAAAACCTGAATTTTGACTCCAAAAGATCTTATACTCTTATATATATAATATGTTGCTTGGGGATTCTCGGCAGTTTGTATTTCTCCTGCGACGTGCAACGGCTCGTCTGAACATCTTTGCCTAACTACCCGGTCCCTTTGAGCAAGTTCCGATTCTTTCGCACATATCGCCATTGAAATTGCTAAGCCCATAGTGACGTGGAGAAGCTTAGGGGTTAAGTTTCAGCAAGAGAAACAGCGAGAGACGGAGACCACGTCAACACCAAACACCACACAGACCAAAGCATTGGTAGACAAGAAGACCAACGATCAGAAAAGCAAAGAGGCCAACGATCTTCCAACAAAACGGTTTCCGGAACAAACAAAGCAATAGGACCTAGGATCAACCGGAGACGTCAAGACTTCAACCAAAGAGTCCAAGTACAACGTATCCACGACAACGAATTGGGACAACCCCGGGTGGTTCTCAAACCAATACCAACGCCAAAGACAAAACACGTGGTCCCTGCCCACCCCACCCCAGTTAACA